GTTCCTACCCACAGCGACCCTGTACAGGGTTTCCGAGGGTGTAAATCTTTACGGGAGTAGAAAGCCTCATCTTTCTCCCGCGGAGCGGCTGGTAGTTTAGAACTGCTGACCTTAAGGTTCGCAGCCCAATTATAGAAAGAATCAAAGGGTTTTTGTTCATGTCATTGAACATTGAATTGATTGCTAATACTTATTGAAAAGTTATCACTCTCCATTCTCACATCAAGTTAGGCATGGAAATGCAGTTGGTTCTGTACTTCTTCTTGTTGTTGTTATGTGCCGTGGAGTCGGTTCTGACTCATAGCGACCCTGTACAGGGTTTCCGAGGCTGTAAATCTTTACGGTTCTGTACTTAGGGTAAAATAACATGACAGGATCTACTATGCACACAGAATAATAAAATAATGTTCTAAGGTTCATTATTTCAAGAAAATTTAGCACTTATTCTTGAAATGCATTGTTGTATGAGCAAAATACACTGATAAGATTTTTCACTTCTTCAATAATAATTTTGTTTTCTCTTTTCAATTATATATCTATATATATATATGTAATGGCTTCACAGCTTATCCATGAATGCGAAATTACGTGAGATTAATTATATGGTTTCATTAGGAAAATGTATCTTAACATGCAACACACAAATCATCATCCCAAATGACCTTGTGGTTTCAAGAGCTTATTTGACTTGCTCGAAATTCATATGTTGAAAAAGTGCTTTGAGTCCATTTGGCTTCATTATGGAATATGGATGGAGATTTCTTGTCAGTATTTTGACATCACCCAGCCATTCCTTTCTCTAAGGAGTACATTAATTTCCTTCTCACACTTGGATTCACTTAACTTTGATCTAGGTGTCATTGTATGAATTTTCAAAATGATTTAATTGCTTTCAATCATTTAAGGGCAAGGAGAGAAACTTCCTAATGCATTCCCAACTGCACTTCTTCCTGCTTATTCCCTCTTTCTGAATGTTGTACTATTGTGTTCCAATGAGGTTTCAGAGTTTAAGCTTTAACAATCAACTGATTTTTTTAGCTGTCATCATTTTAAAATAGAAAACAGTTTACAGCAAGCATTTTCCTATAGCATTCTGTTTGTGCTGTAAATAAGCCTGAAAAGAAAGAACATGATTTTTTGTTGTGTCAAACATTGTCTTAGTTATCTGCTATAACAAAAATGCCACAGGTGGATGTCTTTAACAAATGGAAATTCTGTTTGTGCTGTAAATAAGCCTGAAAAGAAAGATTAAAGTCCAAATTCAGAGCTCTCGCTCTGTAAAATGGTCCTTGTCTCCTTTCAGTATCTGTATACCCAGCAATCACTGTAGATTCCCAGTACATCTTGCCATCAACCTTTTCCTGGAACTAGGAGCTTCACAGTGCAGGAACTCCATGTCCAAAAGACACACTTCATTCCTGGCAATTCTTTCTTCATGGTAGTAGGTCCTTCTCAACTTGGCTTGCTTGTTTAACTCTTTTATATCTCTAAAGAGATTGACTCAAGATACAATCTTATTCTATAGATTGTATCCAGCCTCATTAACATCAGAGAAGTAAGGATTTACAACACATAAGATAATTAAATCAGATCAGGGCTGACCACATCAAATCATGGGGTAGTAACAATATCATTGCACAATTGCTACATTACATAATTATATGCATGCCAAATCAGTGAGAATCATGGCACAGCCAAGTTGACGCATATTTTTGTGGGACAAAATTTAATCTATGACAAATATCACGGACAGGTTTTTGGAAGAAATTCTAGAGTGGCTCTGCTTCAGGAAAGATATTGAGAGGAAATGCACGTATTCAGGTACTTTTCTTAGACTAATTGTCAGAGGGGGAACTGTTTATCTGGAAGCCTTCCTCATGAAAACAAAAAAACACCAAAAATATTGAACTACTCAGCATAGTATCCCCAATGTTTAAATTCACATTGATTGCCTTTTAGAAATGCCCCAATTTTTGAGTTTCTACATTCTAATTATATAGTTAGCAATGGAAAATCTGCCCCAAAGCAAGGTCAGAGCAGGCTGTATAGCAAGCAGACCATCCATTGCTCATATGCAAGTTCAGAGTGAAGTTGAAAAAAATTAAAACAAGTCGATGAAGGCCAAAATATGACTGTGAACATATTCAACCTGAATTTAGAGATTATTGCAAGAACAGATTTGATGCATTAGACACTAATGACCAAAGACCAGAAGAGCTGTGGGATAACAACAAGAATATCATACAGGAAAAAGCAAAAAATCATTAAGAAGACACAAAAGAAGGAAAAGCCCAACATGGATGTCAAAAGAGACTTTGAAACTTGCCCTTTACCATAGACATACTAAAGCAAAAGGAGGACCTGGAGAAGTAAAAACCTTGATTAGAATATTTCAAATGGAAGCTTGAGAATAAAAATTGAGTATTATAATAAAATATGCAAACAACTAGAGTTAGAAAAACTAAAAGGAAGGACATGCTCAGCATTTCTCAAGTCGAAAGAATTGAAGTAAAGGCTTGACATGAAA